GGGCACAATTCCAACATCTCTTTGATTGGTATTGCTTATAAGTAATATTCCATTTATAATCCATTGATATGATAGGTCCCACTTGTTTTTCTTTAGAATAATAAATGACCTACTTAACTCAGTGGTTAGAGTATTGCTTTCATACAGCGGGAGTCATTGGTTCAAATCCAATAGTAGGTATAGATAGAACTTTTTAGCTACCAAAGTCAATGGTATCTAATAAGTTTTTTTACTCACCTTTTTCTTTTATTGATTTTGTATCTTTTCTATCTTATCTTACTCTTCTATTTCATTTTTATTCATTTTGGTTGGGGGATAAGCTTTATTATCGAGAGGGAAACAGCCCGGATCACCAACTAAGGCCCCTAAATGACTGCTCAGTGATAAAGGAGGTAGGGATATAGAGACAACCAGGGGGTTTGCCTAGAAGTAGCCACTCTTGAAAGAGTGTATAATAGCTTACTGATTGAGCACTCTTGTGTCAAAGATGAATGGGACTAAGCGATCTGCTGAAGTTGTGGGATGTAAAAATGCATCGGTAGGGGAGCGTTCTGCCTTAGAGGGAAGGACCCGCGCGAGTAATGGTGGACGAAGCGGAAGCAAGAATGTCGGCTTGAGTAACGCAAACATTGGTGAGAATCCAATACCCCGAAAACTTAGGGGTTGCTCCACAGGGTTCATCCATGGAGGGTGAGTCAGGGCCTGAGATCAGGCCGAAAGGCGTAGTCGATGGACAATAGGTGAATATTCCTGTACTACCCTTTGTTGGTCCTGAGGGACGAAGGAAGCTAGGTTAGCCAAACGATGGTTATCGGTTCAAGGACGCAAGGTGCCCCTACTTTTTCAGGGTAAAGAAGGGGTAGAGAAAATGCCTCGAGCCAATGTTCAAGTACCAGGAAAAGCTCAAACGACCTTTAACAAAAGGGTACCTATGCCCGAAACCAACACAGGTGGGTAGGTAGAGAATACCTAGGGTGCGCGAGACAACTCTCTCTAAGGAACTTGGCAAAATAGCCCCGAGTGAAAGAATTTATTTGACTGTCTTTTGATTGTTTTACAGAGACAATTAGGAGACGGTAAGGATTAGATTAAATGAAAATAAGAGTATGCGAAGTGATCTGTCTTGATTCTATATATATATATTTACTTAATGAAATCGAGGGCAACAAAAAAAGCATAGGTCTTATTATTCCTACCTATTAGTAACATTCATTCCCTTAATACTTGGATATTTTGTTTGTACTTAATGTTTTCTGATTATACTAGAAATCATAAAATCATATAAGAACTTGTTAGATGTTATAATTGGATTTATTGGATTCTTTGGTCAATGATGTTAGGCTAGAATCAGAATCCCTTTTTGACTCTGTCCCAGTAATTCCACTATTATTTATTTATTATTAGTGAACAATAACAAAAATAAAATAATTCCTTCATATTGATAGAAATAGGAGACATAATTTACATGGATATAGTAAGCCTTGCTTAGGCTGCTTTAATGGTAGTCTTTACATTTTCCCTTTCCCTCGTACGATGGGGAAGAAGTGGACTCTAAAAATACTACTAATTGAGTTGAGGGAAAAAACTAAAATCAAACTGTATCCTTATAGATGGGTTCTGAAATTTTATTTTTCTATTTAATTTATTAATTCAATTTCTAAATGGAATTAAAAAATTTCTGCATTTTGGAATTATAGTGTATTCGAATGGAATAATGTATTCTATGGATAATACAGAAAAAGAAAATACTCTTTCAATTAAACAAATATTTGACTTTTCCCCATGTTCGTATTTGGAAAGTCAAGGTAAAATTTCGATGAACTGGCTCTTACCAAAGTTATATATGGACAATGAAGAACCACGGAACCCATTTTTTTACAAGTTATTAAGTGCGGATACACGTTTTCTATAGGAAACAAGATAGACGTAGTAGTTGTCTAAGGAGATACTACACATAATAAGATATTGACGTTGCCTTAGGCGAGTCACATATTACATGCTTATCGCTTGTTTTATTATTTGGTTTTTTATTTATTTGAGTTTCAAAATTGGATTTCTGTTTTCATTTCATATCATAGGTCAAACGTTAAAAATCCGTTGGGTTTTACTAAAATTTTTGAAATAGGAAAAAGTTTCCCATAGAAAACCCCTGGATCATCTATTAACTATTTAATTTAATCAATATCAATTACTTCTGTGGAATGCTAAAAATAAAAAAAAGATTATTTGATTTTTTTAATATGATACCGGGATTGGTCTTGAAAATAATTAGAAATCTAAAAATTCGAATCGGATGAAAAAAAGAGTTGCCTTTTGATTATTTCAGATTGATTGGAACCAATACAAATAAACAAAAAAAATTGGGACACTATATGCATTACATATATGTGATTGATGTTCTATATATATGAAGATAGATATTGAAAATCGATTCATATTAAACCTCTATCTTCATAAATTAAAACTTTATACACTGCAATAATAGATAGTATAGTAGAAAGAAATAGATTTTTTTCTTTCTATCATACTATCAGATTTCATATAATACTACTGATTCTAGTCCGATCATTTCATTTAAGAGTAAGACGTGAAATTGAAATCCTTTTTCATTTTTTCTTCCATCATTGCATTGATAAGAACTAAGAAGTAAAGTTTACATCAATTTAATCACTTTGACTTACCATTTTTACGTAAATTATAAGTAAGAAGGCAGTAGGAACTAGAATGAACAGTGTAGTAGCAATAAATGCGAGAATATTTACTTCCACAATCTCATCGTTAGATTTCTCTTTAATTCACAATAACTCGGGATTTAATCCCATAGAGATGATAAATCTTTCATCGGTAAATTCAATGGTATAAATTATATCTCAATGATATCAAATCGGATCAATATCATGAATAACAATATCTGAACTATCAAATCGATTCATCATCAAGAATTAAATAGTATAACATAGAAAGATCTTTTATCCATACCCAATTCAAAAATGGATTTTTGATCCAATAAAAAATTCCTTTACTTTTTTTTAATATTCTCATCCTTCAATTAGTAATAGGATAAACATTTATCAAAAGTTCAGTGTGAAATTGGAATGAGATAGATTGTTTAAAATGCAAATAATTAGGAATTGAAAGAGGTACTTAGTACTTGAGATTATACAAAATTGGAGCCAGCAAAGGATAAACTTTGAATCCTAAAGTGTTCTATCAAAATCAAAGGAACTCCTTTTTTTTTTGTATCGTGCAAATTCCATTTGTGTGTGTATGTGTTCGCTATAGACATATTCTATAGTATCTATTTCATTACACAGATTAGGAGTAATCAAAAAAGCCAGGTCTAGTAGTATGGTATCTCCTTCTCTTGGAATCCTGAATATGAGGCTACTAATAATTGTGCCAATCCACATATGTTTCTTTTCCATCAATCAGTATTAGTTGAAGAAATGGAAATTACCTTGTTGGTTTGATGAGAAATGTGAAACGAAAAAAAGAAAAAAAGGGGAGATCCCTGTTAGGAATGAGATTATGTTTGTTATTTTGACTCCCTTTCACAGAAAAATGAATTGGTGTATTTTTTTTATTAGATTTCTATCCGTCGGGACTGACAGATCTCGAACTCGTAGCTTTTGCCTTAACAGGGCAGTGCTATGACCGATTGAACTACAATCCCAGGAAAAAAAATGTACAGTATGCATATTCTTATGATTTCATTCAAACCTAATAAAAGAGATTACGGGCTTACTTAAAATCGAATAAACCTCAATTCTAAGAAATCATATCTTCTACTAAGACATTCACTCGGGAAGCAGAAGCCCTTTTGAAAGAAGCTATTCAGGAACAGATGGAACTCTTTTTACTTCAGGAACAAGTAGAAAAAATTTGATTAAAATTTTCATTTAATAATAATTTCAAATATTTATTATTTATTAATATTATATTATTTTATATTAGTTATCTTAGATATTTGTTATATTAGAATAAATTTGAAATTTTAGAATTCTAATATATAAATGGAAAGAATATAGAAAAAGAAATACATAAATATAGAATAGAATCTATTTTAATTTATTTATTATTAATTTAAAAATTTTAATAAATTAATTAAAAATGAAAATTTAATATATTTTATTTATTTAAAGCAATCCACGATTTTATAAGATTCTATTAAAAATAGAGGAGAAGATATAAATTGTGTATAACTTATGTACATAAGTTAAGTTATTACGCTAAAAATAACTCTAAAAGTCTAAGTGTCTCTTGTTAAATTCAAAGCATTCAAAATCCTTTTCTTGACATAGAAATCAAATTAAATATATATATGCAAATAATTTGCGTGCAATAGGATTTGAACCTATACCAAAGGTTTAGAAGACCTCTGTCCTATCCATTAGACAATGGATGCTTTTCTTTTCATTACAATTGTTTTTTTATTGTTCTATTCGGAAAAAAGAATATGTGATATGGGGATTGTAGAAAAGAAAAGCATCCATTGTCTAATGGACAAGACAAAGATCTTCTAAACCTTTGGTATAGGTTCAAATCCTATTGGACGCAAATTATTTGCATATATATTTAATTTGATTTCTATGTCAAGAAAAGATTTTGAATGCTTTGAATTTAACAAGAGACACTTAGACTTTTAGAGTCATTTTTAGCGTAATAACTTAATTTATGTACATAAGTTATACACAATTTATATCTTCTCCTCTATTTTTTATAGAATCTTATAAAATCGTGGATTTCTTGAAATAAATAAAATATATTAAATTTTCATTTTTAATTAATTTATTAAAATTTTAAAATTAATAATAAATAAATTAAAATAGATTCTATTCTATATTTATATATTTCTTTTTCTATATTCTTTCTATTTATATATTAGAATTTCTAAAATTTCAAATTTATTCTAATATAACAAATATCTAATATAACTAATATAAATAATAATATAATATTAATAAATAATAAATATTTTAAATTATTATTAAATGAGAATTTTAATCAATTTTTTCTACTTGTTCCCGAAGTAAAAAGAGTTCCATCTGTTCCTGAATAGCTTCTTTCAAAAGGGCTTCTGCTTCTCGAGTGAATGTCTTGGTAGAAGATATGATTTCTTGGAATTGAGGTTTATTCATTTTTAAGTAAGCACGTAACTCAACAAGAAATTTCCTTACCTGTCCAATTTCTAATGAATCAAGATAACCATTTGTTCTGGTATAAATAGTTATTATCTGTTCTTCTACTGTGAGAGGGGCTGATTGGGATAACCGTTGACCTTTTGCCAATTGATTTTGATTAGCTTTATCGAGATCAGAAGCGAATTGTGCAAAAGCTTCTAATTTTGTGCATTGGGCCAATTCTAATTTTAATTTACCAGCTACTTGCTTCATGGCTTTAATTTGAGCCGCAGATCCTACTTTGGAGACAGAAATACCCACATTAATCACAGGTCTGATTCTAGCATTGGCGGATAAGAATATTTGGCCATCTGTAATGGAAATTACATTAGTAGGAATAGCAACTGAAACATCTCCCGATTAGGTGTCAATTATGGGTAAAGTAGTCATACTTCCTTCACCTAATTGAGAACTTGATTTAGCGGCTCTTTCCAAAAGGCGTGAATGTAAATAAAAAACAGCTCCTGGATAAGCTTCGCAACCCGGTGGTCTTCGTAATAGAAGAGACATTTGTCGATAAGCCTGTGCTTGTTTGGAGGGATCGTCATAAATGATTACAGTGTGTCATTCACTATACATAAAATATTCAGCTAGAGATGCTCCTGTATAAGGAGTGAGATATTGTAATGTAATTGGAGAATCCGCCGTTTCAGCTACTACAATAGTGTATTCCATTGCTCTTTTTTCTTGTAAAGTAGTCACCACTTGAGCCACAAAAGAGGCTTTTTGACCAATAGCTACATAAACACATTACATTTTATCCTTGTTGATTGAGAATGGTATCCATGGCTACTGCTGTTTTACTAGTTTGTCTGTCCCCAATAATTAATTCTCACTGACCACGCCCTATAGGGATCATCGAATCAATAGCAATAAGTCCTGTTTGAAGAGGCTCATGGACGGAACGTCTCGATATAATACCAGGAGCAGGAGATTCAATTAACTGAGATTCAGAAGTTGAAATTTCTCCTCGATCGTTAATAGGTTTAGCCAGGGCATTTATAACACGACCCAAATAAGACTCAAACAAAATAGAAAAACAAAACAGAAAGAAAATGCTAATATAAATCTACATTCTTCTCCCCTTTTTTCTCAGCATCAGATAGGGTAGAAGAAGAAATAAGAAGAGGTGGTAGGGTAAAAGGAATGGGAAGTGAAGGTAGCTGAGAAATTAGAGAGAGAGCTTGAGAGATATGTGAGAGATGTTGAGGGTGAGAGACAGGAATGATGGCAAGAGATGGAGGTGTAGGAATAGTGGTTGAGGATAAGGAAGGAGAGGTTGGTACAGTTGTGATAGGACTCGGAGAGGAAACTAAGGTGAGTTTAAGTTTTGTTGATGGTTGTGCAGTGGTATAAGTAAATAGATCCTTATAGGGAAAGGAAGTGCCAAAGAAGTTAGAAGAGAGTGAGTAGACCAGTCTTTTAACCTCCTTAAGTTCCTTGTCAGTGGTATCAAATCTTGAGAAAACTTCCTTTTCTACTACTACCATTGCTTGTCTGTGAAGGTTGAGAACCGTATAGAGTCCTTCAAACTTTTTGTTAGATAATTCCCCATATTCCTTGGTAGTATTGTACAATTTGCTCTCAAAAGCTTGAAGCTCACTCTGAAACAGTCCTCCAATAGAAGCTCCATAGAATGAAGGTGCAAAGGTTTGAGTTGGACCTGTAGAAGACTGAGCCTCATCTTGTCCCCTTGAGGCACTGGTAGCTAGCTGTTTTCCTTTCTATTTTTCTACCTTCTTTTGAGCTAGTTGGAAAGGCAGTGGAATCCTCATCCTGCTTAGTTGAGTAGTTCTGATGTGCTATGTTGTGCACTCGGAGAAAATAGGAAATGAGTTGAGGGTAAGGTATCAAGGTGACCCTAGACTTGAATAGAATGAAATTCTTTATTTCACTATAGATCAGTGCCCTTATGTTGATTATTTCTCTACTTATGATCCTTGCCAGCATAAATACTCCTCTCGAGTCAAATATGAGAAGCTTCCTGAATTATTGACCATGCTTTTGGAATAAATATAGTGGATTATCCTAAAATAATCGCACATTGGCTTGGGAAAAGATGAGTTCTCCAGGGTAGGCATCACTTTACATCAAAATCTTAAAGGCTTTTACTGGATTCATCTCAAGCCCTCTTACATGCTCCTGAGTACCCAATAATTCATTAATCTTAAAAGAGTCCAATGTTATTGTTCAGCCTATAAGCTTAGTGGTGATGAAGCTTTTTGTCAAAATTTCCTCTTTATCCTAGGCATTATGTACCTCCATATTGCAGTAAAACCTCCTCACCACTTCTGGACAGTAATCCTCTTGAATGCTTAACCAATTTGATAGTATTCCATGGGCTCAGGCAAGTCCAACCTAATTTTCTCCTTTTTCTTTGGCATTTCTAAGTCCATAAAAACTACTGGACAGAATTTTCTTATGGCAAGTTAGTTTTATATTTTCCCATGTTAACATCCTCATCTACCTTTCCAACAAGAAATTCTTCCTCAGAGGTTTAAGGGGGATTACCTTGAAATGAGGCTTGATGAGATACCCCTTCACCGGCCCTTTGTTTCTTCCTTCTTGGCTGCTTAGGTACTGTCAAACCAATAACAGCATCTACAACTTTCTAAACTGAAATCTCTTCATCGAATTTAGGTTTTGATCCTTCACACACTGCAGGTAGCTTGGATTTTGATTGAGTCTTCCTTTTTCTCGGTGTTTTTTGAGACGAGCCTTGCCTCTGGCTCTCTCTAATCTTTAGTGTGCCACTTCTGGGTGGTTTATCTTGTCTAACCTTTGGTTTGTATTTTGACTTGGCACTTGAAGATGTAGTATCTTTGGTTTGAGCATGTTTCTCACAGCTTTCTTCTTGACTGGTACCCGGTTGCTTAACTCTAGCCATTTCGGTGTAGGAAGATTTTGGAAGAGAGATTTGGTGATTTTTGAGAGAGGATAATTTTATAGTAACCGAAAGAGCTTAGAAGGTGTTTTCGAATGAGGTTTGGTGAGAAATTTGAAGGAAAAGGAGAATTTTGACTGTTGCTGGAAAACAAGGATAGCGGTTATCGAGTTAGGGTTCTTTAACTGACAAGGGAATTTCACATTTCTAAACTTAAAACACTAAGAATTATTGATCAGATTATTAATTATCTGGGTGATCGATAAGCCTATCAATAATTTTGAAGAACATAAGAACATTATAAATGATTATGGAACACGTTATCGAACACGAATATTATCAAACACATTATGGATAAAGTGTAGTCAGAAACCATACTTGCCTGTGTTGATCAATCATTTTATCGATGTTTGATCAAATGATCAATCAATGCTACCTTTTAAACTACTTTTTCTGATTGTCCATGAACTTTTATTCCATTTGATCGATAATATGTTCAATAATTTGTATTTTTGAACATGTTATCCATAATTTCTTGAGTGCCAATTCTCCGTACACTTTAATGATCGATAATGTGATCCATAAATGCTATTATTGATTAGATGATCAATAAATATAGCAATTCTTGAACTACAATTATCGTGTCTTCTTCGAATATCTCCTCCTCTATTTATCTCTATTTTTTAATATCAAAACAGAGTGCACAAAACAAATGTCTATCTACTCCAATACCTAAGTTAGCTTTCTAATCATCAAAATGTTAAATTTAAATACTCAAAATAAAGGGATAAAGTAGAATTTCTTACAACTCATTGGGATTTACCATTCCCAATTATCGTCTGAAATAGTTGAACTTCTGCTGATCAAGTGGTTTCGTGAAGATGTCTGAAACTTGATATTTAGTGGGTATGAATTCTAGTTTCACATCTTTCTTTTGAATATGATCCCAAATAAAGTAATATCAAACATCAATATGTTTGGTTCGAGCCTAATAAACTGGATTCCTTAACAAGCTAATTGTACTTGTATTATGATAAAGGATTGGGATCTCCTTCAACTTGATTCCTAAATCTTATAATTGCTATTGTAATCATAATATCTAAGCACAACAGCTTGCTATGGCAGTACTCTGATTCTGTAGAAGATATGGCCATGGTGTTTTGCTTCTTGCTTGACCATGATGAAACATCCTTCCTTTATTATCCCATTATACAAGGATTGGAACCCTTTAAGATCATTATATAAGCTTTAAGTATGAGAAAATGCTCAAAAATTTGAAACTTTTCAAAATTTTAGTCTAGGTCATGACTTGAGGTCATAAAGGCTAGTTTTACTTCCAAGTCACAACCTTAACTTCCCAAGATGTGACCTGGGGTCATAGAGAGCCTCCATGCACTGTTCACTGTGCATGTTCCAGATTACAGGTCCAATTTCAAAAAATCATAACTAATTCTACAAAAATCATATAGAGGTGCTCCAAATTTCTATTTGAAGCTCTTTTAGTGCTCTTCAAGGAAAAGATATCAAACTAGATTTATCTCAAGCCAATTCATACAGTTTAATCTATAAAAATTACTATGCATTTGGTAAATCCTGGAACTTCTAGATTTCTTGCCTCAACTTTGGGAATTCATATCTCTTAGTATACACATCCAATTAAGGTCAAACTTGATGTGTACAATACGTCTACCAAATTTCATGGCTTAACTCATTCATGTGGTAGGTCAAACTTGAGCTTGAAGTTAACTGCTCTAGGACCTGCGTTTTATCCCTTAAACAATTATTGCTTTAATTCTTTTTATTACTTTGGCACGCATAACTTGGGTTTTCTCTTTCTCATTCATTCTCATACATTTTCATTCAATGCCATAAATATTCTAAACCAATATATTGCATCATTAGCATTCATGTACATAATTTACGTAATAGGAGAATTATACATTAACCAATAACTTCATTCATTAACATAAATAATTCTCTACTTTCTTCTCCTTCCTTCTCATATTCTCCTTCATGCAATCATTGTCCATCATACTTAAACTACATGGTTGGTTAGGGAGGAGTGAGATTCAGGGAAATCTCAGTAGCAAACATTACCATTATGCACGCAAGATGGATGTAAGTGTATGACATGCTTACTTGATCTAGCTCATGCTTACCTATAACATATTCTCATACTCAATGTTTCATACTAACATACATGGCCATGGAAAACATCATTGAAATAAAGCATAATGCTAGCATCACCATATCATAATATTATCCAATCACATAATGCACGTCCACACACAAACATGCACATCAAGCATACAAGAAAGGTAAGTTCACTACCTTGCATCCTTAAGCTTTCTTCTTACTCCCTTTTGCTTCCGACTATTAAGGTTGCTTAATCAACTTTTTTCATTCATTTTTCTTGACGTCTCATATCCCTAAATGTACCAACACATCATTTTCATTCTTTTATTAGAGCCATGGTAATCAACAACCTCAATACTTTGTTTTCTTTGAACTATATTGACTTCTAATTTTTGAGCTTGATTTCCAACCTTTCTAAAATCAATTCCACATACAATTCCCTCACAATTTTTTTTTGGAATCTATTTCCAAGCTCAAAATCATCAAAATCCAATCCTATCCCTAAGAACCAGCTCTAATCGAAATATTACTCAAGTTACATAGTCATGAATTTCAACCAATTTTAACATAAAAGCACTTGATTCTTGTTCTTTTCAAGCCTTTAAACATTACTCTAACGTCAATTTCATCTTCCCTTATTCTTAAAAATTTCGTGCACTATACCCCCTAGGGTTTGAAGCTCTTAAAAATCATTAAAATCCATAACCATCCTCAACAACAATAAGGGTGGTAAAAACTACATCAAAAACCATGAACATACCTTATTTTAGAGCTTGATCTTGCATGGATCACTTGATCTTTCTCTCTCCTTCTTCTTTCTCTCAGTAGAATTCATTTTACAAGAGTCTTCCTATGGTTTCCTTAAGCTTGGATGAAATGAGGAGGAGGGGAGGGGGTATTTATAGAGTTTAAGAACAAATCCTAGCCATTGATCTTAAAATTGCAAGATCAAATCTTGGCCATCTATTTTTCCCTCTTTGTCTTGTAGTGACAAGTGTCCTAATGACATCATGCTTACTTATCATGCTTACATCATCAAGCCATATGCCTTTAATCTAACCATACACGTGTCTTGCATCCAACAGTACATGTGTCTCTTCCATCTAACTATACACTTGTCTCTTCCATACCCCTCCATCATTTTGGCTTTAAAATAGGGAGGAAATTAATATAAAATTCATGAATAATATATCCCTGAAGCATTTCTCCACCTATCTTGCCATTCTGCACCGTATCGGGTACTTTTTTCGGGTCCTGACTTACCCAGAACCACTAGGACATGTTTTGGTACCATTTTTCTCACCTCAAATAAATCCACATGGCATTATATAATATTAATGGTAGCTTCATTCAAGAGGGGGTGAATTGGGTGATATAAAAATTTTAAATAAAATAACTAAACAGATAAAACAATGGAGATGAGTTTGGAAAGTTTCACTGAAGAATGATGACACAGGAGTTTATACTAGTTTGGTCTAAACCACTTGACCTACATCCAGTTCTCAGAGCACCTATAAGATTTTCACTATATCCCTAAGATTGAATAGTAATTGAGTCTCTTTCAATCACTCCTCTTACTATCCGTAAGGTTACAACCCCTCAAGAGTCCACACTCTTGAATAACTCACAAATTTGAGTAAAAAGAATAACAAACTCTCTTACAGAGTATATATGTGATAAACACTAAAGCTCGATACAGAAAACAGAGTATTGAATGCAATAGGAAATTTCAACAGACGATAGCTTATGAATTTAATACTACATTCAATACTCTTCGTGCCATTTATAGTTGGAGAATTTTAGTTATCTGTTAGACATGATAGCTTCTAGCCGTTGGAAGATCGATTACATGTGTTCAGCAGTTACAACAGTTATTCATAATTAATGCTTCTAACACAGTAGGTTAAGGGCTATAATGTAACCATTGTGTTTCATAATCTGTAGATGTCTTTTATACAAGTAAGTTTTCTTCTTCAAGAAAATAGGAATGAGTAATCGAAGAAGTGATGATTCTTGATATTGATACAGTAGCTGGAAAACATAGAATCAATCATCAGATATTTAGAAAGTAAAATAAACTTACTTGATCGATAACCCCTTGATCGATCATATTATCAATTAATCATAAAGTAGTAGACTTATCAGATGTATGCATCTATCGAGTTAATTATAGATCATTCAATGATAGAATAAGTGATCGATAAATGATGATGTACAAACTTAGTAATCTCAGCAAGTAAAGTACTTCTGTATTTTGTGCAAGGCTTATTTCTTCCAAGTTTGCATGCCTTCGTATCTTTAAAAAGAGAATAATATGATTAAAGAAAGCTGAGAAAAACTTAAAGATAAAATGAAAATATGCTTTAATAAAGATCATTGTGAAGTACTATTTGAATAATAAATTGATGCATTGATTGAACAGATGATTGATAATCACTTGATCAAATGGCTCATTGATAAAACTAAGTTATAGTGTACAACAACTTTAAGCACAATAATCTAACATTTGATTGTTAAAGGTCTGATCGAACAAGTGATCGAAAAATAGTTCAAAGAAGACTTAGACAATTATACATGAAGATAGTTTGATGATCAATTAAATGATTGATTAATAGATAATCGATCAACTGATCGATTACAGACTGAAAGAAGCTTAAATTTAGAAAATATTAGAGTAAGCCTTTGATCGAACAAGCGATATGAAAAAGTCTTGATTAAATGATACAGAAAATATGATGATGATTAATCAAATGATCGATAAAAGGATGATCGATCATTGACTGTGTAAACCTTATTTTGTACTCTAACATAGAATAATTTGATAAAACACATTATTGATTAACTAGAAGTGATCAATTATCTAAACA